AAAAATAAATGAATTTGAGTAGAGTATAATCATTACAAATATAGTAATGAACATTACATCATGAGTTTTCTGACCTAGGAATTGAGGGTCAGTTTGAGGATTATAGGTTTAATGATATTCAATTAGGGATTGACATATCATACACTAGAGAAAGAGGGACAAACAATTCGACTGTAAAATCTTTTCAAAGAATCTCAATTATAAAGTCAACTTCAAGAGGAAAAAAACCACACATTTGCGACAAATGTGGCAAAGGATTCAGTAGAAGGGATCATATGAAAAGTCACATCCAAAAACATTTTTTTTTAAATGAATTTGAGTAGAGTATAATTATCACAATTACAGTAATGAACATTACATCATGAGTTTTCTGACCTAGGAATTGAGGGTCAGTTTGAGGATTATAGGTCTAATGATATTTAATTAGGGATTGACATATCAATAAGAACGTGATATAGGAATTTTCGGAAAAACGATATATAAACAATCGGAAAAGTCGAAATTCTTCCTGATGACTTGAATAAAATCACTCATTGATCTGAAACCACCAAATTGAAATGTTATCGCTGCAATAGATTTCCTAGAAAATTTTTTAAGGTAATATAGAACTACATCAACTTCCACTTGACCAATATGAACGCGATATAGAAACGTTCGGAGAAACGATATATAAACAATGGAAAAAGTGGTAAATTTGTCAAAAAAAAATTTTACTGACGAAATATATGTTGGACAAACCATTCGAATGTCAATGTTGTCCAAAGCAATTCAACTGTAAAGTCAACTTAGGGCGAAGACAAACCTCACATTTGTGACAAATATAGCAAACGATTCACCAGGCATGATCAAAAAAAATAAGTAAAATCAGTGCTCATCAGAAATCATCTTCCAGGAATTCATCACAACTATAGTAACATTTTTGCAGCAGCAATGGCTTTACACTACCATGAAACACTTTATCAGAGGTAATTTGTTTGATCTGTTCTGGTAATTTACTATACAGATTTATGGCATTATACAAAGGGGACTTTTTATATTTCGTTGACTTATGACTTGGAATACGCAAAACATCACCATGATGTGTGTTGCAACTGTGCACCGTTGCGTTTGTTTCTAGTTCATGGATGTTAGATCTAGCAAATCCTATACATTAAAGAATGTATATGGAGGGAACCGATAATAATTTTTCCCAAACGAATACTGGTTTACAGGTGTCTCGGTATTCAATGCTGAAAACTAGTCTAACTATGCGCTTTTGTGCTACGAATACTCTGATGAATTCATTACTGCAGCCCCATGCTACGATATTGAGCGATATATGTGAATATGCCATAGTAAAGTAGATTTCTAGTAGACCTGCTGTGTTCATGCATGATTTAATTTGCCTTAAAGCAAAGAATGTCTTGTTTAGTTTGTTGCAGACATCTTTTATTTGCAGATCCCATGATAAGCTTTCATCCATGCTGTAATATCCCAAATTGAGGATCCCCATTTAGTTTGGCTGGGGATCAAGTTACTCTTAACTGGAACAAAGAACTATGCCTAGAAAGTTGTCTAATATTTGACCAGTGACCAAAGAAACCATTCGGTGCACCTAACGAACAATGCGTAAAAAAGTAAGATTACGATTTCACTTACCAGGGTTGCCTGCAGTACCCCCACATTGGTCAAAGGGGTATCCTTCAAATATCCTTCCGCCCCGTCTTTCCTGAAAGGTAACGTTTTCGGCATATTGAGATCCTTCCTGGTGTAGTTGTTGGACTCGTCAAAGCAATGTGGAACCCAGCTGCCGAAAGTAAAATCGACTCTCTCACCGTGCCTCATTATGAAGATGTTACGCGGTGAACCGTCCGCTGCCGACTGAAAATAATAAAGAATAAAGTGATGGTGAAATAAACTGATCGCAGTAGATAGACTAGGTCGATTCTGCATCAAACTCCCACGCTTCTTCCCATTTTCAGATTTACAACCGCAACCTTGTGGAACACCCAACTCAAGGTAGGTGTGGTGTTGTGTAAGAGTGAGACTAACGGCAATATGTGTGTATGTGTGTGTGAAATTACGCCAGTGTGGAGTAGAGAAAGAAGCAAACATGCCGCTTTATTTGTTTCTTTTTCTTCCTACCTTGTATACAAAGTCGCAGTTTTTGTAGTCGTCACAGTGAAAATTGTTTTCAGTTAGTGTTTTTCATGAAGTAAGTATCAGCCTATCCGATATTTTACGCCGAACATTTTCGAACACAGTAACGTCAATATCTCTACAAATATTTATTATTCTCTGCCGTATAGCCAAAATTGAGGCAGGTTCACTTTCGTACATCTTTTGCTTCGAATAGACCCATAAAAAAAGTCCAAAGGTGTCAAATCTGGCGAGCGGGCTGGCCATTTTGTAGGACCTCGACGACCAATCCAACGACCGGGAAAAGTATTATCCAAATAATGTCTCACTTGTCTGGAGTAATGTGATGGTGCTCCATCTTGTTGGAATACAATATCCATATCGAATCCATTAGGATTCGCTTCGCCGATTTCAGTGATGAGAGGGTCAACAGTAGTTTCCAGCATATTCAAATACAGTTCCCCTGTTAAATTTTGATCAATAAATAGAGGTCCTACAATATGGTTTCCCAATATTCCTGCCCAAATGTTAATTTTTTCTGGATATTGGGTATGTGTTTCCAGGAAAACGTGAGGGTTGGTGTCAGTCCAATAACGGCAATTTCTTTGTGAACATTGCCGTTTAAAAAAATCTACATTCGTCACTAAAACAAATATTATGGAGATAGGTAGGATGCCTTGCAATGGTTTTCGTCATGACTTCGCAGAATTTGGTTCTTCGATCAGGGTCATCTTCAGTTAATTAGTGTACCATTTTAGAAGGATTATGGGATGTTATAAACCCAAAAAAACAGTGGAAAACAATGATAACATACTTCAGATAAAGTAAAAAATTCTTTTCTTGTAAAATTTACGAAGTATTCCATAATATGTTATGTCTACATCATAATCGGAGGAACTTACTTCTTTCTGCAGCCCTTCTTTCTTCTTCAGCTCCAGCATGTTCATGTAAATATTTTCGCTGGCCGGTATCGACCTCCCAGACATAACCTCGTCGTCCATCGGGGGTAACGAAGGAATGTATGCGTCTTGGTTGGGAACAGACATGATGTTTCTCGTAGATTCCTTGCTGGCTGAAAACAAATTTTTGGAAATCATTTTACAAAATGATAGTTCTAGTAAAAAGCCGCACTTTGAAGTTATCTCAATTTTTTGAAATGGGGAAGAGTCACACGGAGTCTTGCCCGGAGATTTTGGAGGCTGGGGCATCGTAACAGTATTGTTTTTGGTCAAAATTTCTCGAACAAGCACGTAACATCTCGTATACCACAGGGATCTCACTGTGGCCCACCATTTTTTTATTAATTTTTTAATGCAAGTAATTTTTTCATTTCTCTGATGGTGTGATTCAAACGCATTACTATATTGTATATCTACAATAAGAGAAAATACATTATTTGATCGTCTCAGAACAAACAAAACGGTTAGAGTGATTTTTTAACAAATCAAGAATTAAAGTGGTCTCAAAACGGAGCCCCGAGGAAGATGATGCTCCATTTCTTTGAGGTCTAACTTTATGTTGTTCACTTCAACGTATTGGTACCTATTTGGACGAGCTTGAGAGCTGTGGCTCGGAAAACATAATAACCCAAATTCCAATCACAAAATAATAATAATAAATCCATACCTTCACTGGGTGACGTTTGATTCAGAGAGATCTTTTTGTGTAGTGTCCAAGCGTCAGATTCCGCAGTACGTTCCGTGTAAGATTCTGGCAATAACCCCGATTGGCCCGTTAACCAGGAAGTGCCTTCTATCCAACCGTCCGGAGAATTGGCTAGAGTTTCCCCGCTAATGTAGACGTAGTCACCGGTACGGAGGTCGAGTTCGTCGGATTCCGTCGGGTTGTAGGCATGTATAACCTAAAAATGAGTGACAAAACATAAGATGAAACATAAGCGCGAAATTTTGATGACCAATGGACTGAGTACGACTCTGGAGTAGTTGTATGGGAATTTCACTAGTTCGGACTTCCATTGTCTAATATATTAAATGATTTGAAATCTCCAAAACAACTTAAAAAGAAGAATTAAAAATAGCTAGCTTGGCTGTATACGTTGTTGGACAGCATGTATGCGGCTTCCTTGAATTTTCTCCTAAACCAATGTTCCTCTCTGTGTATGATCTCAGCTTGGGACCGCTGGATGTTGTGTTGATGGGTCCAAACATGGTCTGCCATTCCTGATTTGGTGGTTTCCCCTCGCTGTGTCTGTTTCTTGTGCTCGGCAATGCGAACATTCAATGGCCTCTTAGTTTCTCCAATATAGGATTTTCCGCACTCACAGGGTATCCGGTAAAAGCAATTCTTGGAATCGCAGTCCGCGTTTGGTGGCCTGGTTATTGTTTGGCTGCTAGCGGAGAGTGTTACCAGATCTGAAGCAGGTTCTGATATTGTTCTTGGAACCAATTCTTCTTATCCTCTCCGATAATCCTCTGATGTAGGGAAGTGCAAGCACTTGTTGTGACGGCATCTCTTCCTTACGAGGCTCCTGCTTTCTTTCAGCCAAACTCTTTTCTACCATCGCTTTGGAGTAGCCATTCCGTTGAAGATCATTTTTGATGATATCTAGTTCCTTCTCGAGACCTTCCTTCGTATTACAGAGCCCGAAAGCACGATCTAATAGAGTCTTGATGATTCCTCTTTTAGTCGATTGATGGTGGTTGAATTCGTGGTTCAGATACTGTCCCGTGTGAGTGGGTTTTCGATATACAGATGTTTCCCATTTAGTGCCGGTCCTCTTCACCAAAACGTTTAAGAATGGCAATTCGTTGTGGACTTCCTTCTCCATTGTGAAAGTGATAGAAGATCTATCGCTGTTGATTTGTTTCAAGAAGGCGTCTAGTTCAGTATTCCCATGGTTCCAAATTAAGAAGGTGTCGTCAACATATCTCAACCAGACTCGAGGTTTCTTGTGGGCTTCTTCAATGGCCAGAGTTTCAAACCACTCCATATATATGTTGGCTATGACTGGTGAAAGTGGCGATCTCATTGGCAGTCCCTCATCTTGTGTAAAGAATTCGTCCTTCAGTTGGAAATAACAGTTTCGTACACAGCACCCTAGTAATTCCATAATTACTTCTATAGGTAGATTCGTTCTCTCTTTCAAATTCCCATCTTCGGATAGCTTTTTCTCCACTATTATTTCATTTCAGGTTATTTTCGCCTAATATAATTGTTATTTTCAGCTATTAATTTTCAATTTTTAATTCTTCTTTTTTAGTTGTTTCGGAGATTTCAAATCATTTAATATAGTAGATAATGGAAGTCCGAACTAGTGAAATTCATCATGAAACATTGTCAATCACTTTCATAAAATAGTTGTATGGGGTAGCACGCATAACAACATATACCAACTTTCGTCACAAATACTTCAGATACGGTTTTTTATACATATACAGAGAGTTAGACAAAATTTCCTAGGAAAGGAAAACACAATGGAACTTTGAGCTAGAAATTTTGTTGTCCAATGAGCCGAGTACGGTTCTGGCGTGCAGAATAGATGTATGAGGTGGCATGCATGTTAACCTATACGAACTTGTGTCATAAATACTTGACATACGTCTTTTTAATACACATATAAAGTGTAGTTCAGAAGAAAAGGAAAACTTTGTTTCATTAGTTAGACCGATAAGGGTTTAGAATTCAATGTGCAAAGGTCAAAAATGCACCTGACATTTTAATTACTCTCAGAAAAAATGAACTGATTTTTTCCACAAATTTTTAACTTATGAAACAATTTTATTATATTTTTTCGTTACACCGTTGGGAGATGTAAATGACAAAATAATTCCTCAACTATTTGTTCAAACAATCATGAAGTAAGTATTCTTTTTCAATTATACGCAACATACTCGGATGCCGGTTCTGCGGTCTCACTTCGATCCACGCACTGAAATCATATTTACAATGACGTCTCAGTCAGAAAAAATTAAAGTTTGTGCAGGAAAACTGGGAAACCATATTGTAGGACCTCTTTATTGATTAACATTTAACAGGGGAACTGTATTTGAATATGCTGGAAACTACTGTTGACCCTCTCATCACTGAAATCGTCGAAGCGAATCCTAAAGAATTCGATATGGATATTGTTTTCCAGCAAGATGGAGCACTACCATATCACTCCAGACAAGTAAGAACCCAATTGGATACTACTTTTACCGGTCGTTGGATTGGCCGTCGAGGTCCTACAGAATGGCCTGTCCGCTCGCCAGATTTGACACCTTTGGACTTTTTTCTATGGGGCCATTTGAAGCAAAAGGTGTACCAAACTGAACCTGCTTCAATATTGGGTATACGGCAGAGAATAATAAATATTTGTAGAGATATTGACGTTACTGTGTTCCAAAATGTTCGGCGTGAAATATCGGATAGGCTGTTAATATGTCTAGAAGTTCAAGGCAACCATTTCGAGCAGCTTTTGAACTGACCTCAAGCTTATTACCTCATATTATGTAGTTGAATGTCAATTAATTCAGACAATTATTAAAAGTTCCGCCATTTTGTAGCAGTTGAAGATATTGACATTATATTCTAGGGTTGTGAAGCATTTGTCAGGAGCTTCAAAACGATATGTCACAAGACCCCCTTTTCCGTTTAAATTTTTTCCCAGATGGCACCAAGTCGCCCCGTTCAAAAAAAGAAAAGGGGGGGGACATTAAAGAAATGCACTGTTTGTGTTTGGTTTCAACATGGAAATAACACAGTTCAAACCCAGATATGCTTGATGAAGTTCCAAACGTCCACTAAAACACTTAGCAATTATCTACATGGTGTAAAAGACTGCGTAATAAAAAACTGCTTCTTTAACCTTGAATTTATGAGCTTCTGCGAATGTCAATGAAATCTGCTTTTTTTAATTTTATCGTTATTGTACAAATCTATTCATTGTGTCATTTTGTGTATACTTTGAAATTCTATTGTTAAAGATCAATCTAGTGATTGAACAAAAACAATTCTGGAATTTCTACTGGAATGGTCTATCACGATTGAAGACCCTGTACATCTCCTGTACAGTCACAAAACAATCCGAGATCGTTTACCATGATAACCTCAGCGATGCTATAATTGACGAAAGCTGACTGGTATTTTTAAAATAGGCCTGTCTAACCTTGAACCTAAATAAACGGAAATAATCGTCAAATTTGCATGACGGAGAGATATTTTTTTGCCGTGGTTTCTATCGGTGTTTTATCACGTTATATTTTGTGCGTGGATTATGTATTATTTAACTATTTCACAATTACATTTCAAGGACTGGAACAATTTTTTCCAAGGTACATACTTAGTTTTCTGAAAAGATAGTTTTTTCAACAGCCGAACAGTTGAAATAAATATTTAAACCTTGCTTTCATAGATCACCACAGTTCAGATGTTTCCGCTGGATAATTTTTGTACATTCAAAGCCATTATTTTTTTCAAGAAAAAATCACATATACAGAGTGTAACAAACAACTAAAATTGCAAAAAACTTATGACAAAAACCAACCGTGTTTTAAAAAATGTCAACAATATTTATCTCGAAAACGAATTATTTTTCGATAAATATAGATTGCTGAAATTTTTCAAAACATGGTAGGTTTTTGTCATAAGTTTTTTGCAATTTTAGTTATTTTCGTTAAACATTTTATAGAAAAAGTTGTTTATTTTGCGTTTATTAGCGTGCAGATGGCGCTGTATATAACCTCCTTGATATAATTCGAAACCATTTTACATGAATTTCTTCAAATGAATATTTTCAACTTTTTAATTCGATGTTCTTTAGAAGCGTGTTCTTTAGTTTTTTGAACTATATTTATTTACTTGGAAAAGGTGTGTGAATCAGGTGTTTTTTAATGAAAAGTAACAAAAGTTTAACGTCAACAAAGTTATGACAATTTCATATAAATAATAACAGTGTTCGCAGCGCTCTCTAGATGGCACATGAAAATTCATACGTAATTATGATTTCCCACGTCAAAAAACCCCGGGTACCAAATTTTGCAAAAGTTATTTTTAAAAAACGAACAAAAAAATCATTCTCAACACCCTGTATCTCTGAAACGAAGTATTTCCCGACACAAGTTTATATAGACTTTTTTCTTGTCCCAGGAATACGTCACTTGAATATTTTAAAGTACTTATGTTACACCCTGTATATTGTCACTGTACAACCGTTCTAATTATTCCTTTACAACATTCCTATTATAGCTGAATTTCTCTAAGCGACCATATAAAAGCCAGACCCTGTATTGGAAAAAAACAACTGATATTTACCCGATTCTGCTAGCCCCACATGGTATTTTTCGGTACACGTCTTTTGTTTCGAAGAGCTAATCGAGAACTGACAAAAGATCGACTAGTATTCGAAAGAAATCTGCTGCTTCCTTGCTAGACCGAAATTCAGACAAAAAACCGAGAATTTTTATCAGCACACTCGCCAGAGAGATAAGCAAACATTTTTCGTGAGGATTTCATTTCGACTAGAATATTTATTCTGAGCGTTTACGTTTCCGTCTGTGGTTTTTGGAAGGAAATAATAATGAAACAATGTCAGGTAAAATTCGCATCACTGAGACAAAATCCTCTCCTAAATGATATTTATCGAAAAGGTGGTGTCGTATGTAGCTTTTAAAGGGGGAAACGCAGTGGCGTATCATTCTATAAATATATGGGTAGCTCCCGCGTCGAAGAGATTTTTAAAAAAGTGTTCGATACATCATAATTTTCAGTTGTTTTGTTGACATAGTTGATTATACAGGATGTCAATTTCCCTTCTCTATGAAAAATTGGAAAACCACATCAATTTTTGTTTTCATGGGGAACAGTTTGAAGTATTTTCAAACTTCGCGGTTCAAGCAACTACGCTCTGTCTTCTAATAAAGT